GAGTTCTCGAGACGGATGGTGGTGACAGTTGCCCAACAAAGAGAGAGCACTTGACACTGCTTAATTTTACAGTTATAAATAGCTAGAGGGTAAAATTTACCTTCTGTGCATTTTACCACAATTTAAAATAAAAACAAGACTTCCCTGGTGGTCCAGTGGTTAAGAAGCTGTCTGCCGCTGTAGGGGACACAGGTTTAGTCCCTGCTCTGGGAAGATTCCACTGGTCGAGGAGCAACTAAGTCCGTGTGCCACAACTTCTGAAGCCTGCGTGCCTAGAGCCCGTGCTCCACGACGAAAGAAGCCACAGCAATGAGAAGCCCGTGCACTGCAATAAACAGTTGCCCCAGCTCACTGCAATAAAGTCCACTCGTAGCAATGAAGACCCAGGGCAGCCAAAAATAAAAATAAAATCTCAAATGACTATATTTCTCCCTGACATCCCTTTAATATGAAATACCCATTCCTCCTCACAGCACTGCAAAGATGAACACACTGGCCATGACTTGATCAGATTTACAATTCTCTCTCTTTCCTTCAGCACCAAATCAATGTTGAAAGGTGTCTTGTTAACTGCACCCCCTCCCCAGCCTCCCCCCGATTCTCTGCCAACCAAGGGTACGTAGATCAACTTCTTCAGGCCAGCACTCCATCAGCACCTTTTTCCGGCCACTCAAAGAAAACATTAATTAACAGGATGAACATTAGTTACAAACAACCGAATCTCATTTTCAGTGACTCAGGTTTTCAGTGATAAAAATTTAGCAAGCACATCTGCCCCATAAATGCACTGCAGAAAAACCCAGGGCTGATTCAGACTTTCCACATCAGTGACTTCATCCAAGTATAAAGTGATATGGTTCCTAGGTCACACACAAGTTAGTCAATGCTACCTCACTGTACAGGCTTCCCACGTGGTGCAAGTGGTAAAGAACCCTCCTGCCAATGCAGGAGATGCAAAAGACTTGGGTTCAATCCCTGAGTCCGGAAGATTCCCTGGAGTAGGAAATGGCAACCCACTCCACTATCCTTGTTTGGAAAATTCCATGGACAGAGTTACTGGTGGGCTACAGTCCATGGCGTCACAAAGAGTTGGACACAACCGAGTATGCATGCAAACACCACTATTTATAAAATAGATAAAAAACAAGGATTTACTGTATAACTCAGGGAACTATATTCAATATCTTGTAATAATCTATATGGAAAAGAATCTAACAATATATACACTTACATACATAACTGAATCACTTTGCTGTACATCAGAAACTAACACAATGTTGTATATCAAATATACTTCCATAAAAAGGAAACTAAAAGAGTACTTAGTCCTGGCTTGTCCTTCCTTAATGTACTGCTTTAGGGCCTTCCAATCCCCTCCCTGGAGTGGTGATACCCACCATGCCAGTCTTGACCAAGCTGAGAGGGGCAGCTGCCCACATACCCAGCAGCGCCCCATGATCCATGGTGAGAATCGGGATGATGTCCATCTCTCATGACTCCCATACATTTAAGGTATTGGGTGTCTCAGCAGGGTTCCCCAGTCTGGCAGATGGGGCGACAGGCCCTACTGGTTGTCATTCAAGTGTATTGAAGGCTGGGACAGTCCTTTAATCCACCTGACCAAGGTGGTTTTACCTGTTAGTAATTTAATCTGCTATTTTAATATTTCATTCTTCCATTTCTACCAACACTTCTGCCTGCAGTTTGTAAGGGATACAGAACCCTCATTCAATGTCATGTTCCTTGGCCCAGTCTTGCATTTCACGACCTTTGAAATGTGACCCCCATCCCTGCCTACTCAGTGAGGGTATCTGTCCCTGGTACTCAGCCTCTCTAATTCCCTAAAAGCCTGGCTTATGCAGCCACCGGGGAAAACTTGGGTCAGGCCAGATGCAGTGTCCACACAAACCGAGGCATGTTTAGAGCCCTCACTCAGAGGGAGGGGGTCAATATAATCAATTTGCCAATTCCTCACCTGCTGGGAGCTCCCTCCCAGTGGATGGCCCCAGAATCCTTTGGTTGTTTAGAACATACAAGACATGCTGTATCTGCATTAACCAAGTCAGTGTATTTCAAGGGCAATCCAGCATCACTGACAACACACCATCCCACGCGGACACCACAACTGAAGCGTGCATTGCTAGGGCTCATATCCGGGCTACACCATCAGCTTCCTGGTTGCCAGGGGCGTCAACATCCTCTGAGCCGGGACATGGAGGACAGTGAGAAGTGACTCAAGCTCTTGCAGACAAACCCAGATGTCTTTCCACATATCCTGACCCCATCAGTGCTTATTCATGATCATCCACCCCCCAGTTTCCCATTTTCTAAGCCGTAGGGTTAGAACAGTCCAACTGTCAGTGCAAAGTGTTAACGGCCAGAGCTCACGAGCTCTCCGAGTTCAGCCCCCTGGTAGCTGTGGTTCATTCCTGTTTCCCTCCAGATGGTGTCAGTGTTGAGCTAAACAGTGACTGTAGACCGGTCACCCAAACCAGTACACCGGGCATCAGAGGGAATCTCCCCCACTCCCTCCCTATAGACCACAGGGGCAGAATTAGGGGCAGGGGATTTTGGAGGGCAGGGTCCCCTCTGCTGCAGAGGGGTAAGCCCCTTAGTCAAAGTGGGAGTTAGTGCTACAGCAGACGTGGGTGGGTGACACATAGTTATCAACCTGCCCCTCAATAGGAAGGGAGGGTCCTATCATGATTGCTGATCTTCATGAGAGACATCACCTGGAGGAGCGCTGCATGCAGTGCTAGGAACTGCTGCTCTCTGCGGGTTTATGGGGTTTGTGCCTCCTTTCAGAACTGGGACCGAAATCCTAGGGGTACTCCCTTTTGCTGTCTGCGACTGTCCCCACCTCATACCTTCCAGAGTCACAGAGGCATCTACCTCCCAGGAAGCCTTGCTTGGGGGATGCCCAGAGCTTTAATCTGCTTCACTAGCATCTTGCCTTCTCAAAGGTGGCTGGTTACTCTGATCCCCAGTCCCATACATGCCCTTACTTTCAGTTAAATCACTCAGTTGTGTCCAAATCTTTGTGACCCCGTAAACTGCAGCACACCAGGCTTCCCTGTCTATCACCAATTCCCGGAGCTTGCTCAAATTCATGTCCTTTGAGTTGGTGATGCCATCCAACCATCTCGTCCTCTGTCGTCCCCTTCTCCTGCCTTCAATCCTTCCTTTATCAGGTGGTATAAGAGATGGAGGCACTGTGCCAGGTGGGGAATATGTGTCCTCCAAACCTCAAACCCCCACAAAGTCTTGCACCTTCTTCATATTCTTAGGGGTTGGAAAGACTTGCTCCCCATCCATCAGAGCTTCTGGGACAGCATGCACCTTACCGAAAGTGAAAGTAGCTCATTTGTGTCCTATTCTTTGCCACCCCATGGACTATAAAATCCATGGAATTCTCCAGGCCAGAATGCTGAAGTAGGTAACCTTTCCCTCCTCCAGGGGATCTTCCCAACCCAAGGATCAAACCCAGGTTTACTGCAGGGGGATTCTTTACCAGCTGAGCCACAAGGGAAGTTTACCTGACCAAAGGACTCCCCAAAACTACATGGTGATGCTTGGCCTTGACTTTTCTGTGGGTTCACCATCCATCCTCTCCCTCAAACATGTTCCAGCAGAGTCTGCAGAGTGTCCTGAGCAGAGACAAGTCTTCCTCTATTAATACTCTATCATCGGGACTTCCCTAGTGGTCCAGTGGATAAGAGTCTGCCTGCCAATGCAGGGGACATGGGTTTGATCCCTAGTCTGGGAAGATCCTACATGCCTTGGGGCAACTAAGCCCATGTACCACAACTACTGAGCCCTTGAGCTGCAACTAAAGAAAGCCTATATGCAGCAATAAAGATCTAGAGCAATCAAAAATTTTAAAAATAAATAATAAAAAGATAGTCTATCATCAGTGTAATGAGCCCATTTTACTAATGTAGGGAAGGAGAACAGGAACAGATTTTGGGCTACCAAAGACATACAGAGGCTGTGCAAGCAGCCTTGAGGAGCACTTGAAAGGTGCGCTGTTGCCCCCCCCCCCCCCNAGAGCAATCAAAAATTTTAAAAATAAATAATAAAAAGATAGTCTATCATCAGTGTAATGAGCCCATTTTACTAATGTAGGGAAGGAGAACAGGAACAGATTTTGGGCTACCAAAGACATACAGAGGCTGTGCAAGCAGCCTTGAGGAGCACTTGAAAGGTGCGCTGTTGTCCCCCCCCCCCCCCCCATGTGAAATCAAATTGATTTTGAGACTCACTGGCCAGGGGTCTACTGGACCTCTTATGTGAAGGCCTTTTATCAGTATATGCCTTTATGTTACTTCGTGGGCTTCTGTTACTTGCAGCCAAAAGCAACCTTCTGATACAGACGTTAACCTTTGGTTGGCTTTATAGGCTTCTTGGAAATTATGTGACTTGCACATGCTTTTGCTATATCAGCAACTTTGATTTATACATCTGGGGTTTTTCTGTCTTCTCTATCTTCAGATGAAATTAATTGATCTTAGATGGGACAGTCATATGTTGCAGTCATTCAAAGAAATCTCTGTGGCTTTATGTGAGAGGCCATTATGCTTTGTTTGAAAATGACACAACAGCTTTGATAAAATTATGGTACTAGGGGACCCCCGTGGCTGTCCAGTAGTCAAGACTCGGAGCTTCCAATTCAAGGGATGCAGGTTCGATCCCTGGTTAGGGAACTAAGATCCCACATGCCACTTAGGCAAAAAATAAAATTAGTAAATAAATAAAACTAATTCTTGGTTGCTTAAAAATATCCTTTTAAAATTATGGTATGACTGGACAAAGTTTCATAGTGGACAACAACCTAGGAACAAATAGATACCTGATCCAATAAAATCCAATTTTCAGATGGTATATTTCCTAGACACATTTTAATTTCTCAGCTCACAATGACTCAACCCAGCATTCATACATGTCTAGAGTAATGTGAAGTGCAATCTTGCTCAGTACTGATTTTGATGACATTGTTCTAGTTGCAGCAATTCTCTTTTATTTTTTAATCACAATATTTATCCCTTGATGAATATTTTTTGAGCCATCAATCCATTTTTGTGATTTAGGGATATAATACAACACAATAGAAACCATGAAAATTGCACATATAATGAAGGGAAACAATAACACACACAGGAAAATTATATGAAAATAGCACCATTGCCTGAATGTTAAACTACCATCCGTGGAGCCCAGAGACAAGCTTTAGGAGCACAATTATAAGGATATGGCAGGGTTTCTGTGAAAGTCACTGGGATCAAATGTGTGAGATGCATGGGTTTAAAATTGTTTCTTGTCTTTTCCCCCCCTCTAAAACAGCATTTAGGAAACCTTTGGAGGTTTGTGGAGCACATTTTGAAAAAGAACACTCTAAACCCAAATTCTTATAAGGTCTAAATTGGGGCCCAGCTTAATGAATTTCATCATAATGGGTCCTTCTGGAGATCCCCAAACTTCCAAATTCAAAAGGGTTTGGGACCCTATGGTGGATGGGGTGATAATTTGGAGTGGAGTTGAAGGAACCGCTTCCCCTCAAATCACGTGGTCAACTGCCTCCCCTTCTGTTTCTCTAATTAAAACACCCATGAGGCCCGAGCACCTTATTAGAGGCAGCAGTAGGATCTGTCCAGACAGTGAATGGCCTGCTGTGCGTTGACTCCCAGCTCAGCACCAGGCACCACATTGACCGTTATGCTGAGATAGGTGGCATTATAATAAGAATGACTTTATTTGGGGGCAGCAGGTGCCCGAGAGAGGACCTCAAAGTGCTCTCCAGTCACAAACCATATCAAACGATGTCATCTTCAATACATCCCAGGGTTTGTAAGAAGCATCTGTGTACTGCTTCACAAGCTGGGGGGTTCAGAAGTTATACTGCGAGTAAGGGGGAACCACTGAGGATGGATGAGGATGTGTGCCAGGTTTCGTACTGTATTTTAGGAAGATCATCGGTGGTTAGTGGAGGAACAGAGACTGGAGCCTGAGGCTCTTGTCCATGGATTTCTAGGTAGAAATACCAAGTCAGGTCCTCGGGAGCACAGCAGGGATCCTGTCCTGGGATTTCCAGTTGGAGTCTTGACAAGACCAATGCCTCCTCCCAGGCAAGGTGATTTGTGCAAACACACTGCATCCTCCCAAAGACAGAAAGCAGCTGATCCCACCCCCTCGCTTAGAATACTTCTTCCCCATCAGGCCTGACTGGGGTGAGAGTAACAAGGCTAGGGAATCTCTCAGGGGAGAGCAGGTTCAAAGGAGAATAGGAGGTAGTTTCTTCTCAGGCAAAAGTGAGAAGGCCAGGGAACCTTTCAAATGAGACAATAGGACAATAGGATGTAGTATCTTATTGGGCAACTTGGGGGTCTCCCGTCTCATTTTCTGGGACAGTCTGATTGTTTGCTTCTTCCATCATTTCCTTGTATTGACGTTTGAAGAAACCAACCTGTTAGGGAGGAAGGAGAAAAAAAATCAGGAAGTCCAGTGGACAAGAAGAAAAGAGATGATGGAGAGGATCAGTGATCACCATTTCTGGAACCCTATGTTCCAGCACTATACTAGGAACTTTAAATAAACAGTGTCATTTAGACTCTGCCACAGTTCTGTGAGTTGGGTAGAACCTCCTTCAGAATGAGAAACCAAGATCCATCATGGACCAACCACATGCCAACGGCCAAGGAAAGAATCAGTGGTGGCATCAACATCACATCCAGGGCTTTCACACTCTAATTTGCCTTCCAGGGAAACATGTAAGGAGGTGAAGAAGAGCGGAAAAGGAATGGAGACAGATTAGAGGGGGCTTGAGAATCAGACAGAAAGACATGAAGTCCACTGGGGACAGGTGATGTCACAGGTGGCTTCCCTGATGGCTCAGCGGGAAAGCATCTACCAGCAATGCAGGAGACATGGGTTCAATCCCTGGGATGGGAAGATCCCCTGGGATAAAGAAATGGCAACCCACTCCAGTATTCTGGAAAATCCCGTGGACAGAGGAACCTGGTGGGTTGCAGTCCATGGGGTCGCAAAAGAGTCAAACACGACTTACGAGACTAAACAATAACAGATGTCACAGGTGGGAAGGGATCTCTTTAGGAAGAATGTGGGCTTGACTTGACGGTCAGCTCTTTCTTACACTATTGAAAGAGTGTGATCAAATGCTGGTGGTGTCTGGAGTGGGATAAAAACACTCACCTTGTACAGCAAGGCTGTGATGAGGGCCAGGAGCAGCAGTCCTCCCACAGAGCTGCCCACCATGAGGGGGATGGGGTTGTAGACCTCATACTTCTCCAGCACCAGCTCCGTCTGGAGTGGAGATGACCCCATCAGAAAGGCTTAGGACTCCTGCTGTCCCAGACTCCTCCCAGGTCCCCTTGAACTCCCTCCCCTCCTTCATCAGGCTCTGCTCCAAGGGGTGGGATACAGAAGGACTCATGGGCTTAGGAACAACTGTCCTGCCTGGGACTCTCCATCCATCCTGCCTCTCTCCAGGCTTGCAAGCCCCCCACTCAGCATCACGGATTTAGCATCAGGAACTGTCTGACCAGCCCAGCCACTGCCTGCCACATGGTCACTACCTGAGCTCTCAAAAATGTCTCCTGTCCTGGAAGCTGAGAATACACGACTCTGTTGAAGGTGATTTCAGCCACGCTCACAACCAGCACCTTCTTCTGCTGTGTCTGCAAAAGAGAAGGGGAGAGCTGGGAACTAGCTCTGGTTGGACGGGCAGGAGGGCTCAAGGGTAGAGAAACGGCCTGGCTTGAGGCAGGCAGAGACACATCAGACTCCACCTGAGTCTGGGAAGGGACTCTGCTCTTAGAACTACACACCTGGCTGACCCAGCGGAAGCTGAGGTTGCCCTGCAGGATGAAGTCAAGCTCCTCCTGGACGCCGAAGGAGGGGATGTCACAGCGGAACCTCAGGCAGTCAGCGATGGAGCAGTCCTGGAGACAGAAGTGGCATCAGGCCAGGGAAAGATGGGTTTGAAGGTAGAAGGCAGGGTTCAACTGTCTGATTTGAGAGGAGCTGCCACATCGGGAGCTCAAGCAGGCTGTTCAGCAGACATCCATCTGATACAATACGCATTCCTGAATCAAATCCCTCTGAAGTGTGGCTTCCAGTGGGGGACCACCCAGGGCCCTCTCACCAGGACAGGCTTCTTCGTCAAGTGGGTCAGGAAGTCAGACTCTGTGGGCGCTGTTCTCTCTGAAGAGCACTGAATGGAGGGGTTCTAGGAAAAAGGCACAGGGAGAAAACATGCGACTCACAAAGACCGAGGAGGCCAGGCAGGGCTTGCCTGGTGGCTCAGTGTTAAAGGATCCACCAGCCAATGAGGGAGATGCAGGTTCGATCCCTGGGTCAGGAAAGATTTCCTGGAGGAGGAAATGGCCACCCACTCCAGTATTCTTGCCTGGAAAATCCCATGGACAGGGGAGCCTGGTGGGCTACAGTCTATGGGGTCGCAAAAGAGTTGGACACCACTAAAGAACAATAAAAAACTGCAGCGAGTCCAGGGAGAAGGCATTAACGGAGGACCCATAGAGTCCTGTGAGTACCTGGGGGTTGAGGACCACTATGTCCTTCCACACGGCCACCTGGTTCAGCTCCGTGGGCACTGAGATGTGGATGCTGACAGGCAGGTCCCTCTGCCCCAGGTTGTTCACCTGCACAGAGGACCGTGAGGGCCAAGGTCATGCCGAGCCCCCCACCCTCCCGGATCTCTGGCTCCTGGGCCCCCCGCCCCGGGCCATGTTCCCAAGTCACCACACGTGCCTGGTATCTGTGCTGGGCCACCCTGCTGCCCTCCTCCTGTGAGGCCGAGAAGTTGAGGTACTTGGTGGATTGTTCATGGCTGCGGGGAGAGGAGGCAGGAGCGGAAGAGACATCCCGTTAGGGCCTCCTGAGGAGACTCGGAGTGAGAGCGTGACAGGACGGGTGGTCAGAGGGCCCCTGGGCTGGTCGGGAGTGAGTAGCTGACTTGGAGTAACGGGAGGGTTCAGGGAGCCAGGCTGGGCTGCAGGCTGGGTGCAGGCTTCCTGTAGAGACTGTCCAGAGAGGAGACCGCCGGGGCAGCCAGGCAAGGAGCTGGAGTCACAGGGACTGCTGAGAGCTCTGTCTGACCAGGGGGAGGGGGCCAGGGCCTACCCTCTCATGCCCCGGTCCCCCTTCCAGGCCTTTGTGGACTGGAGGAGGCCAGATGGGCAGGTGGGACACGACGAAGGTGCAGGGAGACTCAGGCTGACACTGCTGACAAACGTCTACTGGACCCACCCCTTCTGGCTCCCTGGGGTCTGCCCTGGGGCCCTTCTCTCCCGTTTCCTCAGTTTTTCTTTCTTTATTCCTTCCTTTCTTCCTCCCTCCCTCTCCCTCTCTCTTTCTTCCTTTCTGCTCGTGAGCTCTTAGGTCCTTGACCAGGGATCAAACCTGCAGCCTTGGCAATGAAACCTCAGAGTCTTAGTCACAGGACAACCAGAGAATTCCCTCCTCAGCTTTTCTGGGCCTGGTGTTCGGGGCGGGAGGGCCCAACACGGACTCTCCGATGGGTATCAGTGTAACCACACCTCGAGGCTGCCCTCGGTCCCCAGCCTGGCCCCTCACCAGGGGGGGGCTGTTCTCACTTCCCTGCCCCCTCCCCTGCCCCACTCCACTCCTGCATACCTGCCCTTCACCTGCACCACAGTAATTCAAACCCCCACTCCTACTCTGAAGTGTCATCTCTCTAAGAAGGGCCCCTCCAAAACACCCCAGCTTGTCCTGGGGCCTCTATTAAATGTGGCCTATAATGATAATAATATCATAATTATTATTATCAATAGCCACAAAAAGCACTCAGTTGATTAGTAAGTGCTGCCAGCAGTGTCATCTACTGATTGAAAGGGTAGCAATAAAACTTAAATTTGAGGGGCTTCCTTGGTGGTCCAGTGGATAAGAATCCACCTTCCAATGCAGGGGACCAGGGAACTAGGATCCCATAAGTCATGGGGCCACTAAGCCTGTGAGCTGCAACTACAGAAAGCCTGAGCACCGCAATGAAGACCCAGCATGGTCAAAACAAAACAAAACAAAAAAACCCCAAACAAACAAACTTAAACTTGGCAAAAGTTCAGCTCCTATAGAAAGAGAGAATTCCTCCTGCCCCATAGAGTGATGGGTGAGGACCCCTTGGAGGTCGTGGTGTGGCACCTGCTGATCACGGTGTAGACGGCATACTTCACGGGCAGCTCCAGCTGGAAGGTGGCCTTGCTTGTCTTGGGGCTGTTATTCTCACTGGAAAAAGAGGAGAATCCCAGCTGGCAAGTTCCCCAAGGGAGGAGACTGAGAGGGAGGGGGCGCTGCCCTGGGCCTGGCCCAGCTCACCTGCTCACATTGGCGGCAAGAAGCAGCTTGTCCCCCAGGGTGGCCGTGGGGGCAACGTGAAAGGTGACCGTGAAGGTGATCTGGGGAGGAGGCAGAAATGGGAGGCGGTCACCGAGGAGGGGGACCGCGTCGGGGCTGGGGAGGAGGTGCGGGCAGAAGCAAGGCGGACCTGGGCGCCCTCACGGAAGATGAAGTGGTTGATGCTACAGCGGGTGCTTCGGGTGCCCTGGGTCCCAGCGGGGGCGCTGTCACAGGTCAGACGCAGGGAACGCAACTGCAGATGGTTCTGGGGAAGCACAGATGAACCAAGGCAGGTGAGAACTTGTTAGTGTCCCGACAAAACTCTATACAGAAGTGACCGTTACCTGCAATTTACCTTAAGGTTACGTTTTGTTTTGTCTTAAATTTTTGGGCTTCCCTGGTGGTCCAGCGGTTGAGAATCTGCCTTGCAATGCAGGGGACACGGGTTTGATCCCTGGTCCTGGAAGATTCCATATGCCTCAGGGCAACTAAGTCCATGTAATACTCAGTCTCTGCTCCAGAGCCCAGGAGCCACAACTACTGAGGCCCTGGGGCCCTAGATCCCATGCTCCACAACAGACGCCACTGCAATGAGAAGCCCAAGCACCTCAACTAGAGAGTGGCCCCCAATCACCACAACAAGAGAAAAGCCCTCCCACAGCAACAAAGACTCAGCACAGTCAAAAATAAATAAAGAAATTGGTGTGACTTAAAAATTTTTTTTAAATCCTTAAACACTATCTGGTCAAACTTCCTTCTAAGGTAGAAATCCCAGATTTATTAGTAATAGCATTTTTCCTCTTTTAAATTCACAGTTCTTTTTAAATGATTTGTATTATGAAAATTTCAAATCTACTCAAAAGTGGAAAGACAAGGTAAATCCATCCCATATCCCCATCACTCAGATTAAATTACCAACAGTTTTCTACTCTTGTTTTGCTCACCTGTTTTCTGCTTTTTCTCCCCTGATTTATTTAAAGCACATTCCTAATATCACATACTTTCGATCTGGGAAGACTTCAGTGTATACAAACAACAGATAAGGGTGTTTTTTAACATAAGCACAAGACCTAGCAAAATTAACAATAATTCCTTAAGATCAGCTGATATCCAAGTCATGTTAAGTCGTTCTAAATTGTATCCAAAAATGTGAATGTTACGGCTCATTTTTAGAAGCAATATCTGGTACTTCCCTGGTGGTCCAGTGATTGTGACTCTATATTCCCAACACAGAGGGCCTGGATTCAATCCCTGGTCAAGGAAGTAGATCCCATATGCCACTACTGAGACTTCCCATGTGTCAACTAAGAGTTCCCACATGCCAAAAATAAGACCCAGTGTAGCCAAATAAATAAATCTTTTCAAAAAGTAAATAAAAGCCATATCCATAAAAGGTCCACACATGGCATCTAGTTGGTGTGTCTAGAAGTACCTCCAATGATAGGGTATTCACCCTCAGAAGGAAGCTGGAGCTTATTCCTAGACAAACTCATGGACAAACATTCCTAGAAATACATTCATCATGTATTTGATCTTCATTGATCAAAATAAGCTTCTTTTGGGAAGACTGGCTTAAGAGACACATGGGATAACAACCAAACATAAAATGTGGACCTAGTTTAAATGCTGGTTCAAATAAACCACTTAAAAGGATATATTTGAGACAATTAAGGAAATTGATTACGGTCTAAATACCAGGAAATCATTTATTTCATTGGGTGTGATCATGGCTATGGGGTCATGTAAGACAGTTCTACTATCCAGAGCAGTGAAACAGGAAGATGTATGATGACAGGGTGTCTGGGATTGGTTTTAAAATATTTAAACCAAGAGAGGGTAAAAGCAGATGAAACAATGTAACAAAATGCTGATGACTGTTGAATCTGGGCGATAATTTAGGAGGATGTTTGTTGAACCACTCTTCTTTTGTAAATGTTTAGCACAATTTTTCATAATAAAATGTTTGTTAAAAATCTCTCTTTGACTCCCCGTGGTCCTGGTTCTGTCTTCTAGAACACGGATTGCCATATGGCAGCCCAGCACCAATTTGTATAAATAAAGTTTTATTGAAACACAGCCATGCTCATTCATACACATATTATCAATGGCTGCTTTCACTTTACATCAGCAAATATGAAGACAAAATTGACCCACAAAACTGAAATATCTACTCTCTAGCCCTTTATGGATAAAGTATGCCAAGCTCTGATCTAGAGTAACCAATAAATCCAACTCATTCTTCCACAGGACAGTATTTTATTTAATTTTT